CGCACAGAAGCAGAGGGTAAGAAGTAACCATTTAAAATACACTTATAGTGCGCTCCAGGAGGTGGAGTGGGGGAGGGGGACGTTGATGCATATCATGCTGGAGTCTGCCAGAACACGGTAATTACAGAGCAAACTCTGTTAATTAATAGAACAGACTCTATTAATTGAGTCTGCTCCAGCACGCTATAATTACAGAGTGTCAGAGCAGTCTCCACGTACGTGTATAGGAGCCCTATAGCATTTTGATTATTTTCTGGAATCAGAGAGAAAATGTCCTAATCTGCCTGGGGAACAGATGTTCCCTTTGCTTTCCAAGTGCAACTACATCCCTGCACTTCCTAAATGGTATGAAAACCAGAAGCTCATTTTATTCAGCAACAAGTCTCTTGGTTTTCTCACATCTGGAAAAGGTGGTGACTTACAAGCAACTGACAAGAGAGTGAAAAAGCTACAAGCATTAACTAATTCTAAGCCTCTTGCATACTAGGCCCATACAAGTTTCCTCATGGACTGGCTACTGCTTCTCACTAAATGCAAGTCTACATCATAGTTAAGGTGGATCCTACAGCAAGCTCTATTGCTGGGGCTGCCTACTGCTATTGCCACAAAAGGGAAACAAGGATAACAATATTCTCTCAAAGAGGCTCAGACCTGGACTACTATAAAAGTTGTGTGGGTATGCCTGAGTGCAATTCTCTAAGGTGGGCACATGTAAATTAGAAAATGAAGGCAGAAATAAACTACCCAAACTAAATTAGTTTCTTCAGGAACTTTTACATGTGGTCTGGGCAGGTGGGGGAGGAAGGCAGCGCTTTAATTAGAGCAGCTGTAAGAGCCACTCTAATTAAAGTACTGCAGCATCTTGTACATCAGGCTACGGACAGACATTTAAAAAGCCTGAGCCTGAACTGATTCTTCACAGGTTAGTCTAACCTGGCTAGACTGAACTGGTTTATAACTGGAAAGACATTTTCTCTGAAGAAATTCAGGCACATGCCTGCAGTGGCTCAGGCTAGAAGCCAGGGGGCACTAGAGCAGCCCTCCCTTCTCTTGCATAGGACTGAGCTGGGGTGGGGAGTGGGCGGGTAGGGTTATGGCCAAGCCTCAAAAGGATGTTCTGATTAGGAAGGTCTGCTTGCACCATCCCAGGTTTTTCCCCACTTGTTGCTCAAGGGGCAGGAGTGCTGCCAGACCCCAGACCCCTGCTAGAACTCTGAAGCAATGGGGGAGAGGGGTTGCAGTGCATGCATCTTTTGATGATACTGAGCTTTTCAATCTCCCTCCCTGCTTCTATATACTGTCTGCAGCAAGCTGACAGGCAAGCAAGCCAGCCCAGGCCCTCCCCACCCTCCTCAGTAACAGTGTTTATCACCTGATCAGCAAAACAGCCTCTCCATTATTTCAAACACTTCTTCAATAGCTTACTGGCTGACCTGTTGATTAGCTCCAAAAAGCCCTAAGCAGTCACTGTTCTATCTGCCTGTCCCAGTGAAATTGGAGACACTTATACACAGACACCTCTCAGCATTAGCTAGCATAACGCATGCCTAGGGTCTATGGGGCTAGAGTCTGTGCTATGGGAGATAGGAGGAACCTAGTTTATCTTAAACCAGCAAGGGATCTGGGACAAACATTGCATAAACCTGTTTGAGCCAAATCAGTTAAATCTGATACTACATTCAACCAGGTTTCTCTCAAACTGGTTTCAGCCATTTTCAGACTGGTTTATGTACATTGAACATCTGTTCTGTTACAGGTTTAAACCAGTTTCTGATCACTTAAACCAGTTTGTGTGTAATGTCTGGCCCTAGCCTCAGTTTCCCTGTGCTTCAAAATGGCAGTCGAGGTGCTTGAACTAAAGCCTCCACACTTGTGTATAGACACCCTTAGAGTAAAAGTATGATGAATTAAGTAGTTATATAACATCAACTTAGAACCATCCAATTACTTAGGTTCCTATGATGCTCACCAGCTATAACAAAGCACATTGCCTTTTCCCCAAGCTCAACCATCAAATTTAAACATAAAAATTATTTAAAAACAGAAGAGGCAAACAAGTGTAAATATAAAAAGTATCTCATGATCTTTTGGTGTAGCAGCTTCTCCTTCCCATTCCCTCCCATGTCATCATCCCTTACCACAATCAATAGTGCATCTGATATAGGTCATAAACTTCAGTTTTTCTGTATAGCAAAATGAATTCCCTTATGACTCAATAGTAATCCCTAACTTCTTATGAGTAATAAAGGATGTAAGCAATACACTTTTTATTTACTTAAAACAAGAAGTGACTAATGGTGTTAAGGAGCAATTATGTGTATTCAGCTCAACATTTTCAATCCTTTACATGTCTGTGGTGCTTTCTGGCAGACCACTGGGTAAAAGTTTTTGAGCTTTTGCCCACACTGGTATGCCAAGGTACCTTTCAAATTATGGACTTCTTTGCACAGCTCTTGAAATCTGCAGAAGTGAGTGTTACAGGTGCTTGCAAATAATTAGCAAGACACATGCACATTACTTGCAGTGTACCAATAAAGATTTTTTTGGCCAATACCAATGGCTGTATCGGCTGATACTGATCCGAGTGCCAATATGCAGCCTGGCAGCTTGGAGAGCAGCGTCCAGCTGGTAAGTCTGTTGTGGGGGGAAGGGGCAGGGGGGAGAGGAAGGGGCATGAGGGTGCAGACCAAGGCCCCCATGGTGAGGGAGAGAGTGGGGCTGGGGTAGGCACTGCCCAGCTGGGGCAGGACACAGGACGGAGCCGTGGAGGGGTGCAGCTTCCGCTGCTGAGTACACCTCCGGGGAAGGCATGGGGGCATCTGCCCCCAGATATGTATGTGGGGTGAGGGTGGGCTGCTGCTGCAGGTGGCACCAGGCTCTTCCTAGCAGGGGTCTGGGCCAGGGCTGCACTCAGACCAGATGGCAGCAGTGCTGGGAGGGAAGGGGAGGGGCTGTGGGATGAGCTACAGCCACCCCAGAATATGCTGTAGCCCACTCACAGACTTCACTCCCAGTGCTGCCACCGCCCACCCCGAGCACAGCCCCACCACTGTGAAGAGAACCAGATGCCGTCCCCAACTTCCAGCCAGATGGTACTCTCCAGCCTGCCAGGCTGGCTATGTGCATGCACACAGCATTTTTTGGTGACATTAATCAGCCACATCAACCAAAAAAGCCAATAATGTAAATTTTCCTCTTATTGGCACTGATATAATATGGACCAATATATCGGTGCACCTTTACATATTATACAATCAACAACTTTTCCACTTCTTATGGAATGCATGCAAGTGGGTTACATTTTCAATACAGATCTGAATTTAGAAGGGTCTCTATGCTACCCAAGGGCACCTATACACATGTTGGAGTAGACTTGATTAATCAAGTCTGCTATGAGTCTGCTAATTAGCATGCTCCAGCAGTCTCCATGTCACATGTATCAGGTGTCCCCACATTTCAAAATGGCAAGGGCACTTTAAAGCTTGTTTAATGAGCTTTACTTAAAGCACCCCTGCTGCCATTTTGAAGCTTGGGACACTGAATACATATGATGCTGCAGGTGCTTTAATTAAAGCAGCTCTCAGAACTGCTCTAATTAAAGCGCGCTCCCCACCCCACCCCAGAACACACATATAGATACCCCAAAAGCCCCAATCAAACCATAATAATCTGAGGTCAGGACAACCCAACACCAATTTAACCATTCAAAAGTGGATATTCATGTTTGCCCTCAGATAATCTGGGATCAAGTGATTCCAAGTGAATAAGAACATTCCTCCAGCCCAAGTAAGGTGAGAATTTCCAGGTTCTGTTCAAAAACTATGACAACTAACTTCCTTCTATTTAGGTCAGCTCCTAAAATCTCCTTCCCAGAGCAGGCAGCAATGTAACTACTAACAGAATAAAGGCAGAAAGGGGACAGTGCAGGTAAAGACAATGACAAGTTCAAGTTTGCGTATGGCCATTCTGGAGGTACAGAAATAAGTGTAAGAGGTTCTATGCCCAAACACCACTAACCACAGACTCTCAAAAAATTGTTCAGAAGAACTATTCAGGCTAATAGAGACATCAGCACACCTAGGCACATCAAAAGCAACGCTATTTTTCCAGAATCTACCAAAAACCCTTAAGCACTGATAAAGGCATCTTTCATGAACAGGCAGAGAAGGGACAGGAGTACACAACACGTAACTATATTCTGGTTGAATCCTGATAGCGTTTCAGTCCACAACAACAGTTTGCTGTCTTTGGCTTATGAAGCTGACAGCCAGCTATTATCCCACTGAACCTGGATGAAGGACACATTCAGTCCTGACACCTGTACTAAAGTTCTTTTGCGAGTCTATCCTCTCTGGTAATCAATCAATTTTTCAGTGAGAACTTAGGCTAAATCATTTGTGTGCCAAGAGTACCCTAAACCTTTCTCATGTGCTCCAGACAGTCGAGTTTTCCCACAACTCCCTAAAAACCAGAATAGCTCAGGTTGCTTCATAACAAAATATCATGAGATTTGCCTGATGAGTCCTAGCAACACATGCACAGCTGTGTTTGACACTAGTAAGGACAAAGTAACTCAGGTAAAGCCTGCAGTGTGGCTGCTTACAACTGGACAGAGTCAAGATGGATTTTAAGACCCAGATCACAACACTCAAGCCAACTCTGCAGTGAAGACAAAACTTAAGTGATGGAAGAGTCTTCCATGCTAGTATAAGCATCTGTTTGTACTACAAGAATCACATAATGTTTCTGATTTGAACAAACAGACAAGACTGCTTTGGAACTGGCTCCATTTAGTAGTATTACATTTTACCTCTGCAACCTCAGTATCCTTGGGGAAGTCCCACATGGGCCATTTGCCATCATTTTTCAATGTCCTGAA